TGGCTTTGCTGCTCTGGCTATGCTTCAAGTACCGTCTAGGTCTTTTTCTCTCACTCCTGCGGGGTCGGCGGCTTGAGCCGGAGGCTCTTCAATACACCAAGACCCTATTCAAGATTTTCAGAGCCCTCATGTTAAGCCCTGAGCCCACCGGTTCGTGGGGGAATGGGCCTGAACCCTAAACGCTGACCCCAGCCCCCTAAACCCTGAACCATTACATTCTGAAGCCCAAGCCCTAAACCCCACTACCTAGGACCTAGAAAGCAGAAACCTAACCCGTCACTCCGGGTCGTGGGCCTGAACCCTGACAGCCTCAACAAGATTCTCTTTTTGTCCCCGTGTAAGGCAAGTCCAAAGACTGGGGCAAAATGGGTGACAAGATAAATGCGATTCGGGCATTCGCCTTTTCGAAGGATGACCAGGATGTTATGCTTCTCGGATTGTAAAGATCGGCCGATGATCATGTTTCTTCAGTGTGCTGGGCCTGCTGGGGGTTTCTCTGTCTGCTCTGCAGCCGAGGATTGTTGCAGATGCCTTTGACACGCTGGTTCTGGCAGGTCAGCCTGAAATACTCCGAAAGTTTGAGGAGCTTGAATCGGAATCTGGGCGCAGCATCATCTTCAATGCTGAGGTAGCCTGTTTTCCAAACAGCGACAGCATCTGTGAAAAGACCCCAGCAGCGAAGCACCGCTGGCGTTATCTGAATGCTGGGCTCATGGTGGGTCGTGTGCAGGCTTTCAAGAGGATCCTCCCGGAGCCCCTGCAAGGCGAGGAGAAGGAGGTGAATGATCAATGGTGGTGGCAAATCTACCGCAGAGACCATCCAGAGAAAATTCTTCTGGACACGGAGTGCAAGCTGTTATGCAACCTCTTCGCCGTGACAGAAGAGGACAGGAACAACTCTCGGGCTCCAATCTGCATGTCATCTTTTTCTTTTCTTCCGATTCTTCAGTCCTAAGATGTGGAGGCTTGACCAACTACACCAAACTCCAAACCCACAGCGCCTTCTATTGAGTCCCACAGCCACAAGCTACGCCCTAAAGCTTGAGTGCCATGAAATCCCAGAGCCCAAAACGCTCCTTTTCGTCGCTCCAGGAGGGTGTCACCTTAGAGGGGAGACGGCTGCACGTGCAGCCAACTGGCACTGTACCACCATTGATTCACTTTGCAAGCTACGGACATCGTCCCTTCGCAGAGAGAGGTCAGGATTAAACTTTAGCTCTTGGAAGGCTTACATGGCGATAAGCGGAAGGAAGATTTAAGGATTCTGTTGTATAAGACCGAAGCTTGAAGCATTGAGGTTTCTAAAGAGTTGGAATTATCAGTACCAGTATCCCCTTAGGCCCTTAGATTGCTAATTACTAGAGAGCCCAAAGAAGACGAGCCCCAAAGAAGCACTGGCAGGTTCAGGAACTCACATCACCTGGGAAGTTCTCTCGGTTGTTTTGGGGCTTGGGATTCTACAAGGGCCTCATAAGGGCTCCATAGAAAAGGGCTTGGGGGGGCTTTAGCGTTTAGTTATTCATGGTTGTAGGGTTTAGGACAAGTCGACCTGGCTTACTTTATCACAAGCTTCCCTGGCAAAGCAGGAAGCTTGTAAAGAGCCCCTTCCAACATCATGAGCTCTTGTTTCCGGAGTCCCACAGCCTGGATGAAGTCGAATTCTCGATGGAACAGGAAAGCCAGTTCGAAAGCTCTGCATTCACGTTCTCGGGCCCATGCATGATGGCTCATGTTTTGACGATATGTCCCCTTATCGGTCCGTTGTTTTTGAAGGGGGGGGGTTCGGGGCGGGTACTGTGCCCATGATTGTGGCCAATTTGAGACGACTTTGGAGGTTCGGTAGAGAAGAAGAACATAAAAGCGAGCTTGTATCCAATTCGTCACCGAAACAGAAAATCTGGGAAGGAGAGTTGAAAGGATGGTTTGATACTAAGTCTAAGCACCGAATCCTCGGTGGATTGCTCCACTTCATTAGTGGCATGCATGTCGGAAGCGAGGCACCAGATGGGTGAATGGACGATCGACTAGCTACGTGCAGGACGTCTTCCAGCAGCTTTTTCCGCAGGACCTGCTGCCTGGAAGTTGTAGGCGTTGCGCTCCCAAGCCCTAAAGGTCCAGGACGAAGATGCCTACGCTCAACCCGACAACCAAGCACGCAGCATGACAATTGGAAGAATAGAAACTGGCGTGGCTGAGCACGGTGGTGCCGACAGTGTTAGGAGAGCAGAGGATGACGAGAACAAGAGCAGTACAACATGTAAGTGCAGCAGCAGCAGCAGCAGCCGCAGCCGGCTCAGCAATAGCAAAAGCAACAGCAACAGCCTCCACCATCACAACCGGCAATGGCAACAGCAACCGCTTCGGCGACAGCAACAGCAACAGCGACAGCAGCAGCAAAAGTTTGAGCAGCAGCGCCGCAGCAGCAACCACCGCCGCAAGCACCCCAGCACTACCACTCCATCACCACGACTCCGAAACATCCACCGCCGCCACGGACACCGCCCCCACGACCGTCGCTACCACCGCCGACAGCCACGCATCCCCGACCACAGTCCTCGCCTTTGCCCCTGGTGCCGCGAACAGTGCAACAGTTGCCGAAGGTAGCAGCGATTCGGCAATGATGTAAATTTGCCTGGAAATGAATGTGGTGACGACATGATGAGGACACTGATAGTTGCTTCATGAGGAGTCTGCAAGTCTGATGGAGGGATGGTGGATTGGCATCCGGGTCGGATCCAGCCACGACCTCAAAATCTACGAGGGCCCCTTGGCTTGTGTTGGTTTTGCCTTTAGCCCTAAAGCTCTACGCTCCAAACCCGGTACCGTTTGGAGTGTTTGGAGTGGAAAAAGGCGGACGGGTTGTTGTATCAGCTCTGAACCTTCTAGTCCCTAAGCCCTGAACCCTAAACCCGAAAGCTCTTCAAGGAACCTCGGAAGTGATCCCTTAGAGGATACAAAAGGGCTCTCCAATAGGATCCCTTCGAAAATCTGGGAAAAGGAGCCCTTAAGGGGTACTATAGGGTCCTTGAAACCCCCTAAACCCCTAAACCCAGGCGTTGGGCTCCCAGCGGTCTGTGTCGTCTCTCTCAGGAGTCCACAGGTCGCCCAGCCTGGCCTTTAAACCCTACTTGCAGGTTCATGGGTAGTTATCAGTGCGGTTATAAGTCCCCTAATAGGGTCCTACTATTTAGGGTACTCTATCAGGGTCCCCCTATTTTCGGAAAGCCCCTATATTCGGGGTTCCCTTTTTAAAGGGGGGTTTTCCTGAGATCTCAGGCCCGGGATGGTGGCGACTCCTCGCCTCTGCGATTTGCCTCCAGTGCGACCTGGGAGGCCAAAGGTCTCTGGGTTTTTAGGGGCTTGGGTCTCAGGGCGTTTTGGGTTTTGGGTTCTAGGGCTTAGGGCTTAGGGTTTGGGGTTCAGGGTTTAGGGTTTAGGGCTTGGGGTTTAGGGCTGAGGGTTTAGGGTTTGGGGCCTTGCGAGTGGATTTTGGAGGGTTCTTTTGGGGTTTCAGAGGTGTTCGAAGGGTCTTCAGGAAGGTTAAGGGGTTTTGGGCTTAGGTGCCATAAGGGGTTCACAAGGCTCTGTGTATCTGTAGAGGTTTGAAGGTTTAGGGTTGATACAGGGGGTAATATGGTTCTTGTAGGGGGTTCGCAGGTGTGTCTTGTATCACGGTTTCATAGGTTTATTTTACAAAAACTTCGGAGGTATTTTATGGTAAATCCTATTTCCTGTGTTGTCACGAAGTCGGCGATCATTGAGAAGGTGTGGAATCCGATGACTGCAAGTATTTGCGGCACAGTACCACGTGCTCCTCGGCTACTATTTTGGCTTAGGGTGTAGCAAGTCCAGAAAAAATTGTCAGACGGGGCTACCACGACAGGGAAGATTCACGATCTGTAAACCGGCTTAGGGACAAACCGGCTTAGGGACGCTGGCAGAAGCAATGGTTGTGTGGATGGGCACGCTGATGGTAGGTGGTAGTAGGTAGTAGTGCTGGTGGTATTGGCAGTGGCAGTCGCAGTCTTAGTCGCAGTCCCAGTCCCAGCCCCAGTCGCACTCGCCGTCGCAGTCGCAGTCGCAGGAGGAGGAGGAGCAGGAGGAGGAGGATTAGGTGGTAGTCACTACTCTCGACTCTTCGCCTTTAAGTTGTTACGGAAGCCTAGGTCACAAACGCAAGCCTGGAAAAGTGGCCTTAAACCCCGAACCCATAGTTCCGTAATCTGTAAACTTGGTAGCAGTCCGTGCTTCGGTAAAGGATGACTCCACTGAAAGTTTGGGTGGTCCTGAGAAGCCATACAACATGGATGTAGCAGAGCTGGCGCGTAGGGTTTTAGGAGTGTTGCTCTGCAATCCGGCCCTGGACCATGAACCTCCGACGCACAGCATTACATGCCGAAATCTGAGGTTTCTGGCTTAACCTCGGATGGTTCTTCCTTCTGCTGGTCCTGTCCTTCTGCGTGCTCGTCTGCTTACGGGGGCGGCAGCGATTTGCTTGCCGTCAGGGGGTTCAGGTGGGCGGCTTTGTTATGACTTTCAAAATCCAACACCACCTTGGACCTGAAGCAACGTTACCCCAACCCAAACCCTCACCAACAAGAGACATCCTTCGCGCATATAGGCTGCAACCGACACCCAAAACCCAAAACCCCAACTGCCTCGAACAGGTCCTCGAGGCCTGGCGGCTCTACCTCAGACCCAAGAAGCCGACGCTGGCGGCGTAGGCAGAAGATCTCAGGGTTTTTGGTGAGGTTCCCATCCTAATAATCGTGTAGTATGTTTATAGTGCTTCATATCTGTTTATAGCATCTGATCGTACCATAGAATGAGTAACTTATAACTTACAGGACGGTTTTTGACGTTGTGTTTAGTAGGCGCTCAGGAATAAGTATCTTTTCGCGTTTAAGGGCTCAGGCTTGGGTTTGGGCCTCTTGCGTTTGGGGCTGTTGGTTAGGATGCATGCCAGAGATTGCGGGAGAAGGCTCGAACGACGGGCTTTGGGCTCTAGGTTTCAATTTATTAGTATTCGGGGCGCAGCTTTTAATAAAGGGTTTAGGGTTTGGGCTTTGGTTTTATGGTAGCTGGGATGAGCACTCCGCCTGAGAAGGTTGGGAATCGGTATCCAGACACAAAGGCCCTTACAAAGAGGAGCTGTATCAATCAGGAGTCGACATGTTTATGTTCTCAGGATCCAGGCTTGACAAGGTGTGACATTGCATGCGGAGCCCTAAATCCTCAACTCTAAATCCTAAACCCTGAATCCTACGTAAATCGTATAACCTAGCCCAAAGCTCGAAGCTTTTAGGGAGTGCCTGAGAGGTGGGCAGGAGCAGCGGAGGCGCCACCGGATCGGAGGAAAAGCGATCCGAGGTCTTTGCGATGATTTCGAGTAAGTGATCCGGGCTTCGCAGCTTAACCCTCCCTCCGCACAACGGAATCACTTTATAGTATCCTAAAGTCAAAACCGTTAAAGCAGCAAGGAGTCTTCCAGACCGGTAGCGAGACCAGCTAAGTGGACATAAATATCACGAACGCAACAGCCCAGCAATGCCAAACCACACCCCTAAAGCGTCAATTCCAAACCCTAAACCTCCAAAGCCAAACTCCCACGTGATTCGTAAACCCTAACCTGGTAACCTCTAACCAGAGATGTATTCAAGTCGACGGCCGAGGACATGCCACATCACGCTGAGCCACCACGGGCAGGCGGGAGAAGGCGATTGCAGGTTTTTAGCACACCGCCGTCTTCCCGGTGTTGCGAGAGGTTCTGAGAGTGGAACCGGGCCGGTGTTTTTTAAATCCTATATATGTTCACTCTTCACACTTTGTATATATATATATGTATATTTTTTTCGGATCTACCCCAAAGCCCGACTCACATGGAGGCCCCGAAACCTCGGCTCTACAACCCGAAACCCTCGAAGCCGACACCAACGCCCTAAGCCCTAAGCTCCAAGCAAAAACCCCTTAAATGGAGTCTTACACACCCTTCAAGCGCCTTCGAATCCTGTACCCTAGACAAACGAAGCAACAACCCCTATGAACCCCTTCGAAAACCATTCCTAAAAGCCACCCTGCATTGCAGAAGCCGCTGTAAGACACCCACAAAATAGCGAGCATTAGGCAGTCCGGAACACCCTAAATCAGGAGAAGACGCAACCGAAACATATCCTGATAGCAGCCCCTTCTCGAACCTCATATAGAGCCCTTAAAGGGAACCCTAAATCCTCAACCCTAAACGGCCCTAAACCCTAAGCCACATGGGAAAAATAGAGGTGCCGTACCTGGAGGGCCAGGCAATCGGCGTCATCGCGCCGGGTCCCGAGAGGACCAACTTACAGCTTGGGCTTTCGTCCAGCGCTAGGGGCCTCGATTAAAGCAACTGAGGGATACCGGACAATTGAGGGATTCCGGCCTTTGGGGAGCAGGGCGGCTGGAAGGAGGTAGGCTCATGCGCCAGGGTTCGGGCAGTCCATCGTGAGCTCATCGTTTGGTCCTCACGAGGATTACACTGACGAGTTCAGTAATAATCTGAGTAGAGCCATTGCTAATTACCCATTTTCCGTATTCAATCCTCCCGCAGGACTGGTGAGAGGCCGGCAAAGCTCCGGCTCTACTCAATCGCTTCGTCCAGGTGTGGTCCAAACTGAAGCACTTGTACTCGTAGGACCTCGTACTGCAGTGAAGCCTCCCATAGCCCCCAAAGGCCCGAAGCCCTGAGGTGCGGAGACGACCAAAGGTCGAAGACCCTTTCGCTCTGCGTAAAGCGTGTCGTGGACGTCTCGGAGCGCGACCAAGGCGGTCGTGTGGGAGGGCCCAAGGTCGGTGGGATCTGCTCCAATTACCTCTGTGATGCGCAGCCAGGGGATAAGGTGGTGATCACTGGCCCTACGGGGAACGAAATGCTTCTGCCCGAGGAGAACTGCTGCAACTTGATTCTGGTGGCAACTGGCACAGGCATCGCACCAATCCGATCACAACTGCGACGGCTTTTTCATGACGTCTCATCGGCCAATCCCGACACCAGCCGCAAGTTTACAGGCTTGGCTTGGCTTTTCTATGGGGTTCGCTCTGCATCGTGTCGGCTCTATGACGATGAGCACATGTCCTACACGGCGAACTTCCCGGACAACTTCAGGTACAACTGCGCCATCAGCCGTGAAGGCTGTGATTCTGGGGAGAGGGAGTATGTACAGACGCAGATGTGTCAACACATGGACGAACTCTGGCGACTCCTGCAGCTGCCAAACACTCACATCTATGCGTGTGGCGTGAAGGGCCTGGAGTCCAGCCTTTCTGACTGTCTTGCCTCTGCTGCCCGGGATCACGGCCAGGACTGGCGTGAACTTCGCAAGGCAATGAGGACGGAGGGACGCTATCACGTGGAGGTTTACTGAAACGCTCTGAGGAGGCCTAGTAACAGATGAGCTGGCGCAGACACGGGCAGAAGACTTGCATGCTGGATGCAGCTGTTAGCTTAGACACCACCATGCCGGCTGCACACGCAGTCTATCCCATCGCATCTGGGAGTGCCAGCACCTGCCATAGTCATTGCGACTTTTGCCACTAGATGAGACTGCGGACACCCGATCAGCAATGTCGTACCTGTCGTTTCATTTTGTACACCGAGGTCCCCAAGGTACAGGTGTCCATCAAGAGCAGTATTTGTGCTTTCAGTTGCTCCTGCTGCTGAAGCACGAACAGACTCTGAACTCCAAGCTCTGAAGTCAACAAGCACACCTGAAACACCAAAACTGCTTCCACCAAAAACATCATGACTCTCCAAGACCCAGTAAGCCTTCTTTTGAACCCTAAGCCCTACACCTGTTGGCCCGAGCCCCCAGCTCCAAATCTTCTTCAACTTCAGGCCGGAACTTGGGGCTCTGAAGAACTCCCAGAAAGAGCCCTACAGCCCAAGGACCCCAAGACTCCAAGTGCCCAAGGCCTCCATGAAGTCAGCCATTGAGCCTGGCCCGAAGACCCCGAAAACCCCGTAGTACCCCTACAGTAAACCCTGATAGGCTTGTAAAAACCTCATAAGGAACTTTTAGACCCTATGGCACCCTTAGCGGAGCCCCTGACTTACCTGTGGCCTTTGTGTGTTTTGGCTTGGAGCCTGGCTTTGAGATCCGGTGAAGAGGCCGCGTTCAACGCCGAGGCGGCAAGAAAAGGGTTCATTCGGCTTTCAACAGGGGCTATGAGGTTTAGGGTTTAAGGCTTGAGGTTTTCAGGGCTAGGGTCTTTAGAGTCGTTCTAGGGCAAACTACAGTTCAGGGTTTAGGGTAAGCCCCCAACCCCAACTGTGACCCCTTTCGGGTTTTGGACGTTGCTTCATGATTGGGGCAGACCTTGTGAAAGCTCCCTGACCAGAAGCCAACCCCAAATCCTGAACTCCAACTTCTGATTCGAATGCCTACCCCAAACCCTGAACCAGAACCCTCAACCCTAAACCCTGAAAGCCACGTTGGTGGGCTGCTAAGTGCTATCGTCGGGGTTTTAGGATAGCTCTTTGGTTTCGGGGTTTTGGGGTTGCGGCTTTAGAGTTTAGGCTTTCGGGCTTAGCTGAGAGCTTTTTCAGTGTAGGGCTTAGGGTGTTCCCTGGACATCTCAGAATGGCCCTTCTGAGCTTCAAGAGCCTCGACCAGGTTTCAGAGGGTCCACGCGGCCCACGCAGGTTTGGCTTTGGTACCGCAAGCCATGGCCGGGCAGAGGTCATGGAGCCAAGAGAGTTTTGTTAGCAGATCTGCCTTGGCCAGGAGTGTTGCCAAGATGTGACAAGCAGGAGGATGGTGGCAGCTCGACTGGCAGCACTGGGAAGTGCAGGACCCTAAACCGTAAACCGTCAACTCTAAACCCCACAGCCGAAGCATCCTAAATCCTGTACCCCTTAAAGGAAACCTCCAGAGAACTCGAACCCCCATTAGGGGTTTAGGTTTAGGCTAAACCCTAAACCCACCATCCCGTAGCTCCCGGAACCCGAAGCCCGAACTCGATGCAGGCCTGGCATTTCCCCATGGAGATGCGCGCTTGGTTCAGTGAGGACGGGAGCCAAGCCGTGAGTTCTCCAGGCTCCGAACTCAAGCAAGGTAGGGATCTCAAAGATACGGGGATGAATTTGCTAAGTCTTCGGACGTCTGTATGAGGCTTAACAGCTCAGAACCGTCACACAGCCAAAGATCAGGAATCTAAAGATGCTTGTAGGCACAGAGGGCACCCTGTGTACCGATTCGCCTTTTCAGAAAGAGTGTGTGCGCGCACATATTTTAGATACGTATGTGCGATTCCCGCAAGAAAGCCGTGGATAGGTACCTGCACAGAACGAGGGTCATGTCAGACGCTGCTCAAGGTTGCAGTTGATCCGCGCACTTCCTAGATGTGGCAGTTGAGGGTTTAAGGGTTCAGCGGTTGGGCATTAGGGGTTTAGGGTTGGGTGGACATGCCGAGGATTCTACCAGGCATAACAGTTTCCCACTTTCTTTTTGCGAATGATGTAGTGATTTAGTGCAGGATATGGAGGATGATCTTCACACTGCTGGCGTCACCAACGAGCTCGTCACTAGAAGCCTGCTCAGCTGATCCGACCACACTTTGCTTCTTGCAGTGATAATACCTAATCAGTCAGTGTAGCATCCGTGATAGTCATGCAGCTTCTTGGTTGGTTTCGGGGACATGGCGGCTTGAGTCGTGGTGGTGGTGGTGGTGG